CCCTTCACAAATCTTCTGTAGTACCCTGTAAGCCCTAGGAATCCCCTCAGCTCCTTTAGATTTTTGGGCAATGGCCACTTACCCCTTCCTTGGATACCAGATGACCCAGGTACTCCACACTAGCTTGTGCGAAGCAGCACTTCTTCAAGTTAGCTCTCAGCTGGTGCTCCTAGAGAACCTCTAACACCTTCTTCAAGTGCCCCCAGTACTCTTCCTCTGTTCTGCTATACACTAAGATGTCATCGAAGAATACCAAAACAAATCGCCTCAGATACTGTTTGAAAATCGTATTCATGAGTGCCTGGAAAGTGGCTGGAGCATTGGTGAGGCCAAAGGGCATCACCAGGAACTCATAGTGGCCCTCATGAGTTCTAAAAGCGGTCTTGGGCACATCTTCTTTCTTCATTCGAATCTGATGGTATCCAGATTTCAGATCGATCTTGCTGAAAATCACCGTTCCACTCAATTCATCCAACAATTCGTCAATCACTGGTATGAGAAACTTATCAGGTACCGTTTCCTTGTTGAGTGCACGGTAGTCTACACAAAATCGCCAACTGCCATCCTTTTTCTTTACCAATAGAACAGGATTAGAGAACGGGCTGGTGCTGGGTCTGATGATCCCTGCCTCCAACATTTCTCTGATCAACTTTTCTATTTCATCCTTCTGAAACTGAGGGTAACGGTAAGGTCGCATGCTTACCGGTGACACTCCCTCTCTTGATGTGATGGCGTGCTCCTGCTCCCTGGGTGGTGGCAACCCTAGAGGGGGTTGAAAAACCTCCTCGAACTCCTGGATCAAAGGCTGCACAGAGAGGGGTATGTCTCCCCCTCCCCATTCATTCCCTCTAAGCTGTGTAATTCCACCAAGTAGCCTTCCCCTTCCTCCTGAATTGTCTTGATTTGGGATTTCAGAGAAACCCCTGCCTTAGTCAGCCCTGCATCCCCTTGAATCACCATTTTCCTTCCACCCTTCCTCAACTCCATCCGCAGTGTGCCCCAATTGATTTTGGTTTCCCCCAAGGTCTGCAACCACTTCATCCCCAGGATGACATCCGTACTTCCCAGTTCCAGGGGAAGGAAGTCTTCCTTCACTTGTATGCCTTGGATTTTCAGCACCACTCCTTTGCAGATTCCTCTTCCCATTTCTACCTTTCCAGTGCCCATCATCACCCCATAGCCCCCAGTATCCACTAACTTCATCCCCAGCATCTCCACAATTTGGGTGGAAATGAAATTGTGGGTTGCCCCACTATCAATCAACACCACGACTCCACGGTCAGCTATCTCTCCCTTCACCTTCATAGTGTGACTCAAAGTGAATCTCACTACAGAGTTGAGAGAGACTTCTGCCACATCCAGATGCATCTTTTCCTCCTCCACCTCTGAATCGCTTCCCCCACCCTCTTCGTCTTCCCCGTCTTCACAAACGAGGAGAACTTGAAGAGTTTGATCCTTGCACTTATGTCCTGGCATATATTTTTCATCACATCGGAAACATAGCCCTTTCATTCTCTTCTCTTGCATTTCCTTGTCAGTGAGCCTCTTGAATTGTCCACCATTTCCTCCTCCTGTGACTTTTTCCTTTGGAACTTCTTTCATCCCTCCTGGGGAAGCTCCCTTGGTGGCTAGGTGAGTAGTCGTCCACCTGTAAGTGCCTCCTGAGCTACTACTACTCCTCGTTCCCTTCTCCAGGTTTTTTTGATTTTCGACCAACTGTGCAAGCTTCATGGCCTCCCCTAGGTCCCTGGGCATCAGGACCTTCACCGCTGCTCGCACCTCGGCCGTTAACCCCTTCATAAAATTTCCCTCCAACACCGTCTCAGACAAGCGCTCCATCCTCCTGGCCAGATGCTCAAACCTCTCTCGATAGTCTGCCACAGACCCCTCCTGTACTAAGGCAAAGAACTGCTCGTAGAAGTCTCCTTCCCGATCGGTTTGGAAACGCTCTAACAAACTGTCCTTGAATTCTCCCCAGCTCCGGATAGGTCTCATCTGATCTCTCCACTGGTACCAAGAGAGCGCCTTCCCTTCCAGACACAAACCCGCTGCTGATAATTTTCTCCTCTTCCGTCAAGCCGTTAACAGCAAAGTACCTTTCCACCTTGTAAATCCACCCATAGGCATCCTCCCCTTCAAAAATGGGCATTTTTAATTTTCTCACCTTCCGATCCCCGCCATTCCCCCTTAATCCTCCATAGTTCCCCCTCTCCCATGTGCCTGGGCCTCCCCATGTTTTCCGATCTTCCCTTGCTCGACCCTATCCCAATCCCCCTTCAAAATCCCCTCTCCGATCTTCAAAAACTGTTTCCCGGCGCCCCTAAAATCCCCCCCGATGCTCCCAACCAGCACCTCTGGGTTCCCCACCTCCATAGCTTTGCCTTTCCACATACCTTCCTCCTCTCTCTTCTCTATGGAAAGGCTCCAGATGAGGCCTTCCCCTACTCCCTTCCATGATTTCCACTTCCTCTTCCTCCCGATGGATTTCAGAGTTGTCGTTCTTCGCTGCGGGCCCTTTTGCATCAGACGCTGCCGATTGGGTTTGAAACTCCAACATTTTTTTCATCATATCCCGTAGATAGGCCACTTGTCCTTCCATGGAGGACATTCTTTCTTCTACGGTCTCTTTGATTTGATTTATCTCTCCTTCAATCCTCTCCTCCAAAGCATCCACCTTCTTAGCCGCCATCTCCTACGGCTTGCAAATTAGGAGAAAATCTCATGATCTGAAAAAAAAATTTAGTGATTTTCTCCTTCGTCGGTACAATTTCAGCCGCTGAAATTGGTCAAAAACAGCCCACGATTCGTCCCAAGACTTGCTCTGATACCAATTTGATAGGAAATACCTGAAATCAAGTATTTCCTATTCACCTTTACAGCAAATCTCCACGAAATACTGCTGTCCGGAGCAGGAAAACAATAAAAACAGTGGAAAAACTGTAGAAAACTGAGAGAAATTCGTAGGAAAAACTTGTATTTTACTAGTAGATGCAAGGAAATTAGCAAAGATACAAGGATCCCCTATCCGAGAGGAGAATCACACTCTCCCAATCTCTAGAATTAGATCTAGAGCCCTAGCAACCAAAGAAGACAAGAAAACTTTCACCAAACATGACCTAACCCTAATTATCCCTTTACTCCATACTTAATGCATAAAATTCAAATCTAATACAAAAGGACCTAATTGCCCTTGCTTCTCCTCCTTTTGGCTCCAAAATTCACTTTGAAATTCAAGTGGACCCCATCGGTTTCTTCCCCCTGGCTTCCGCCGGCTCCCTCCGCCTATATACGCACCGAACTGGCCCAAGCTGCTGGGCCGGCTGGACCGGTCCATGGAGGACCGGTCTAACAATAACCAAATGCAAGATAATGAAGATCAATTATCCAATTTGGATAAGTACTGGAATGTTGCATGACTGGTTGGAACTCAAAACTATCTGCAGTACAGGCAGTGATTGCTTCTGCATTGAGTATTATATGCATGTTATTGCTTGAGATTGGCAGAGAAAGAAAAAAAAATATAATCCACAATGGAATATACAACGTCACAGATATCTTTTTAGGTTACATGACAGATCTTATTTAGCTTGTATTGACATGGTATGGATGAGGAGAGAGCCTTTCTTCAAATTATGCGACTTAATCCGGACGTCAAGATTGTTGGTAGGCACATTTAATGTTCACATTGAGGAACAAATTGCTATGTTATTACATTCACTTGGGCATAGTGTTCGTAACCGAGTCATTTGATTTAATTTCAAACGCTCCAGTTAGTAGGTATTTTAAAGATGCACTATATGATGTAGGGGAATTACGCCATGAATTTATTAAGCCTGCAAGTCCCAAAACTCCATGTAAGATTCAATGAAGTAGTAGGTTCATGCCATTTTTTCAGGCATAATCTAATCACATTTAAGCAAATTTAATACAATTTTATTGGTTTTCTTAAGATGCTTTTTAACAAAATTAGGATTATGTTGGCACTACAGATGGAACACACATTAAAGTTAGGGTTCCTAAGGAGAATGAATCTGCATTTAGAGGCAGAAAATCATGCCCAACACATTGTGTTAGCAGCAGTTGACTTTGATTTGAGGTTCACATATGTGTTCGTTGGTTGGGAAGATTTTGCTCATGACGCAACCGTTTTTAAAAACACGTTAAAAAAGACCAAATGGATTACGAGTCCTAGAAGGTAGAATGGATAACTATTTTTTTTTTAATGACAATTATTTGTGAGAGATCTCATAATCTAAAATCATAGTAGGAAAATTTTATCTTGCTGATGGTGGCTACTAAACACTCAAAGGTTTTATTGCTTCATATCATGCAATAAGATACTGTTAGAAGGAGTTTAGTTCTATTCAACCTAGAACTAGGGGTGCCAATATTTGACACGACCTAAAAATCCGACCTGAAAATTTCGGGTTACGATTCAACCCGTTTGAGAAATGGTTCGGGTTCGAGAGTTCGAGATGACCTAGTAACCCGAAACCAACCCGGAATAAAGATTTTTCAAAACGAGAGATGGAAAGTGGTTGGAGGGAGTAAGTAATTTGAAACAACTGGAGAAAGAAATTCAAGAGATTCATCATTACAACCTGCAAAAATAAATCAAATTTAACTAGATAATCAAAACATTTGAGAGCACATTCTACTCTCAAAGACATTATCATCATTGATATGATTACATTGAAATAAGCTAAAAGAAGAAAAAAATAAGATAACTAATGCTCAAAACGAATTGCCTATATATTTTAAGATTTTCATCATTACAAAATTTACTTTTCTCAACATCTTATATTTTGTTGCCAGAAATCTGCTGGCACCAAATTGCAATTGGAAAACGGCCAAAATTGAGATAGAAATCTTGGTTTTCTTGTAGTATATATGTAAATTAGTTATCTTTTAACATTTTCTTTGTATCGGCTATTTTGTAAGAATTATTATTATGTATTTGTGTGATCGATCCGATCAAAGTTATAACGATGCAATTGCAGATGCAGATGTAGATGCAGATGCAGATGAAGAAGCCGACGAAGAAAGCGATTGAAGTACACTCGCCTTTACAGTCTTATTTGTTAGCAATTAGAGATTATAGGCATTTATATATCTGTACCCTTTGTAGTCCTTGATGATTAATAGCCTAATAGCAGTGTACCTTCTCTTTGAAGTATTCGTGATGTATTTTATTACATTTTTGATTTTTTGTTAGAGTTTGATAGATCATTAGCTTCCTGAATGTAATTTAGTTTTCCTTATCTTTAATGCCGGGATTATTTTAGTTCAGTTCAGAGGGCTTTCTAATTTGAATAACAAACAAATTCTTTATTAAATTTTTACTTCTTGATTGCCGGATTTGGACTCATAATGATGTTTGAAAGTTTCAAGACTGCTTGATAATCACTCAAATTTTGATGGGCTTTATTAATTTGTTTTGAAGATTGAAATTATTTATGATTTTAAGTGACCGTTGCACTAAGCGTGGTGATAGAGTTTATCGAGTATGCTCACGTAGGGTGTAAGTGAGTCAAGCCGACTCGTGAGCTGGCTCGGGTGAGGAAAGCTTAAGTCAGCTTTGACTCGTCTTATTAGCTCGTGAGCCAGATGATTTAAAAATGAAAATTACACAAGTTGCAGTATATCTCTTGTTAGCAAATTAATAGATTTTATAAAGTAAATATTCATAAATTTTCTACCCTGCCAAAAGATAGTATTTTAACTTGCAAAAATTTATGAAATTTATGAAGGTAGACAAAATTTTTATTTACATTTAAAAAAATTATAATTTCTTGAAGGGTCACATGATTGCAAAATTTTGTTGAAGACCAAAACATGACAGTTCTAGCATAGGTACACCACAATTGTTATTTTTTTGACAATTCATACTTAATTTTGAGACTATTAGAGCTTAATGAAGCATCTATAACTAATTTCAAATAATTTCGGATTAATTTTATATTGGTGTTATTTTTACTATAGTTGACACATTAAATTCAACTTTTAACTTGTGATTTGATAACTTAGGCTATCTCCAATTGAAAAACTCAATTTTCACTTCAAATTACAGTAATAGATAAAAAATAAAAAATTCGTCTCCATTTAACTCCATTTTCTAACGCAAAAAAAATATTTTTAGTATATTCTTTTCCATACTTATGTTTTGTATATTTTTAATTATATATTTATATTTAAAAATATATATATATCGCACTGTTCACCCGTAAGAAAATAGTGAAAAGTTTGTCGTTCGGCTGGAGCGACCGAACGATGCCATACATATGTTTGACGTTCAACTGGAATATTGACATCATACTGTTCATTATATATATAAGTATGAGAAAGAATATGCTAGGAATATTTTTTTTTGTGTTAGAAAATGAAGTTTAATTAGAGATAAGTTTCTTCATGTTGATGTATTATGATATTTTGAAGTGAAAATTAAGTTTTTTCCCTTACCACTTGTAATTTGATAATTTACAAATTTTGTTTAAGTTTTCTGAGGTCAAGTTTATTATTATTATGGATATAAATTCTTAAATTTGAAAATAAGCAGTTAAATAATTTTTCTCCACTTGTGTTAAATCCCACTTCAGCCAAAGAGCCCCACTCTAGTTCCTCTGTCGCGAAGAAACCCTCGCTGTGCCCGTCGTCATGGGTTCGAAACGCTCCTCCAAAAACCCTAACAACCGGCGTTCTTCCACGCCTCCTCCTGATACCCCCGTCGATGGGAGCCACAAAAACGTTAAGAACTCTAGCCTCGAAACTCCCTCCAAATCCCGCAAGAAGCTGAAACTCTCGGCCCCCATTTCCACCGATTCTAGTAATCTTTCCCCTGACAGGGAATTCCATTCTCAGGATATCAACCGCAAAGACAAGGCTCCAGATGTTTTCAACGATATCTCACCTAGCGACGGTACTCCTTCTCGTTCCAGCTTGCTCCGGTGGGGTGAATCCGACATCTTGAAACTCCTCAAATCCGCAATCGCCGTACGGACGAAGAGCGGATCCTTGTTTTCGACAGCCTCCATCACGGCCCTTTTAAAAGAGATCAAGGATTGGGCTCCCACCCAGCTTTCAGAGAAAAATCTCAATAGTAAGATCCGTCATTTCCGGTTCAAGTTCCTGAGGAGCCCTAAACCTGGACCAGAGAGTTCCGAGTTCGATCGGAGTTTCTATGAACTCGCGTCGAAGATATGGGGGGCAGAAAATTTGAAGGCCGAGGGCGATGCTGCTGGCGGTGTGAAGGAGCACGACAGGGTGGAAAGGAAGGATAATGCGTCTGGCAAGAAAGACAAGGCCTCTAAGAAACCAAAGGAGGGAAAGAAAAAAGTGGATGAGGCGAAGGAAGATAAGGTTGCGGTGGAAGAGGAGAGGGATAATGAGAATGACGAGGTTACTGATGACAAGACAGAGAAAAACATCATATTGGAGAATGGCGAAGGGCAAGATAAGGATGAGCAGCTTGTTGATGGAGATAATGGTTTGTTGGATGCTAAAGGGGCTGGGCATTCATATAAATATCTTGGGCTTGCATTAGAAGAATACTGGACCGAGACAAAATTGAATATGGATACTCTTCATGCGGCTCTCCCTAAGGTGAATCCCGTTCAGGCTAAGCGTCTGGATGAAAGTTTTCGTGAGGTTTTTATGGGGATGCTAAAGCTCAAGATGGAGAAGAATAAAGTTTCTAATGAAATAATTCGTGCTTCTCTAGCTGCTGACTTCCGCGAAGTAAATGGAGTTTAATTGTAGGATATTATAGAATATCGAGTTTCGTAGGATTGCTTGGTATGCTTGAGGTAAGATCATGTTTTCTATCCTCCTTTGTTTTGTTTTACTTACAAGTCTGTGTTCTTGGTAAGCTTGTGAAGCGGGTATCACTTAATTTATTTTGCTTGCTGTTGCTATCTACGTAAATTGTAATTTACATATTTTTATTAAAACTTCTTTCTTTGCGTTGTTCATTAGTATCTTTTTCAGCTGCATTCAAGAGTTCAGATCTCATTATGTTATTGATCTTGTGTAATATCTTATATGCATTATTCCCAGACATCACATTTAGGCAGATAATTTATGATAAAATATGATTTTTTTTTTCTGTTTGTAACCCTCTTGTTTCTTGATAAACTTCATGGTGCTTGTATGGAGGTTGAATGAATTAGCCTGATGCCACTTACCCATTAAGCTTTCAAGTGTGCAATGGCGATAAAAAATGTCGAGGAAGCAATCTTGCTAAGTGTTTATTTATTTATTTTTGTATTAAAGGCCCTTTATTTGATCTATTTTTTTTATCAGGTACTGCTTTAGATTTTTTGTACTTTGGTCCAGCTTATTCAACTAAAAACCATATGTTCAAGGATATCTTGGTCCATCCGTGACCGGGAAATTGTATCCTAGAAATGAAATCTTCTATTCAAATTTTAATGTTGTCGTGGACGCATTTATTTGTGAAGGAAACCATTTTATGATGTATGCTTTCTTTTTCTGTGTTTTTTTTTTTGGGAAAAACCATCTCTATCTATGGGTGGTGAACATGTGACTATCTTTACTAGTCCCCTGAATCCATAATATGAGCATTGAATTGTAAGGTTTAAATTTTCAATCCTTATTAGAGTGCAAGAGATATACTGATAATCAAAATGATGAAAAACCGATGGCTTTCTGAATATATGGATGCTTGAGTTTTCAAATTTTTGTGGCCTATGATCTTGAAATCTAAGCATATTCATACATAATCCTAGCTCTAATATTAAATTCTTGATATCATCAAATTTATTATTTTGTAGATGATTGAGTATGCTAATAAAAAGAAAATATGTTTGCATATGTATACATATGAAGTTTGTGCCTCTAGGTTGGAAGTAGCTTATTTTTGCATGCACATGAGCATGTTGCCTATCAGTTATGTTCTGGTTGATCCCATCCCTAGATGTAACATTTGTTTAGTTTGTTGTATGTGCGTTTCACATTAAAATTATTTTGATATATGTTTGCAATTTATTTAACTCTATGTTTATATGTATGTTTATGTATATAAAATAGATGATGATGCATGCATGTAATTGTTGAAAATTAATTTATTAAATTAACAACAATTTCATGAATATTAATTAATTAGAAGAAATAACTTTAAAAAATTAATTAGTTTTGTATATTTTCAAGAATAAGTTATGGAATCTTAATATACAAAATTGCTTTCTAGTTAATAGTAATGAATGTATTAGTGGGTTAATTAATTACAATATATGGAAATTAGAAAAATCAGTGACCATGAATGTATAATAAATTGTTATCTGGACAAAAAATATAAATAGATAAATTTCTTAATGGAGTTGAATTTTTGTTTCGGTAGTTTCTTAGCACTTAATTGTTTAGTTTTGATAAAAAGTTTAGATGTCCTTGTTCTTAACTAAAAAAATTATTATATCTAGCATTTGATGGAGTGAATGTTGATTTTATTAGAGGTGTTTTGAGCTTGATTATTGATGTTGGGCCTCACATGGTGAGTGCGAGCCATTTGTTGGCACTCATTAAGAAGGTATGAATAAATGATATTTGATGATGTTGGCACATAATTTAAAGAACTTGTTGAAGAGCCTTTTAATTGTGAAGCTTAATGATTTTATGATTTATTAGTTATGATTTATTACAATTGTTATGGCATTGTTGTACTAATCAGTCTAAGTTATCTATTACAATAAGAATGCCCAACATCAAAGTTGATTTTAATATGCTACATGAATTTTTCAATCAATTTATTAGATTGTTAAAAATGACTAATCCAATAAATGATTGTGTCTCTTATTCTAGAATTAAAAAGATTTTTTGCATTTATGAGTTATGTTGGATATATGAGATTGCATCATGAGAGAATGTGTGAGCCAAATATATGTCATCCATTAGATGCTAAAGTATTAGATTTGACTTATGTTAAGAAGAGTAGAGGTAGATCTAAAAAAGACTTGGTTAGAAATATTAGAAATGACATTTCTTTATTAGATTTAAATGAGAATTTAACTTTTACTAGGGCTGAGGCAAAATAATTATTGATTAGTATGAATACGATGATGTGGCTTGAATATATGGCATGAAATCATCAAGAACTAAACTAAGTATGACATTTTGTAGTTCTAAAGCATACTCTGAATATACAACAACAACAACATCAAGCCTTTATCCCACTATGTGGGGTCAACTATATGAATCATGTTTCTCTTCTCCATTTATAATCTCTCCCGAGGTATAGATGACAACCCTTTATATGTTTCTCATGCATCATATTCTTGTTCCATACAATTTAAGGAAAAAAGTAGATGTGTGCTTTCAATTTCTG